CTCTCTCTCTCCTCACTGCTCTGCATTAGTTAGTGACAGCGGCTCCGTCCTCCGCCCTCCCCCGCCGCCGGTTCCTTCACTTCTTCTCGGATCCCCGCTGGGGAGAGCAGCGGGGATCCAGAGAAGTGGCGGGGGGGGGGGGCGGGGCGACCTCACCGAGGTCTCTGGTAGATTGCGATCGACCATGTGGGCACCCCTGCACTAAATCATAAACCCCTCACATCCGTGCCTGTAAAAAAGACTTGCAGTATTCCGGAATCCCTTTAGCTGAGCTTTTAAAAACCGGTAAGCCCAGGGCCCACGAGTAGGAATCTGCATTTGTAGAGTTTATTGATGGCACTTCTTTTCCCTTGAAATTTTGTATAACTTGTTTCTAAATTTGTGCAACTTATGTTTTTCTGTTTCTGAATATGAATGGCAAAAAATTGATTGCAAACTCTTGAGTGTAAGAAACTGTTTTGACCGTTTTACCTACGGGAAAACAAAGGCACTTAGTAATTGCTTACTAGGTTATATAATTAATTTTGTAGTAATCTATCACAAAGTAGATGTGAGAAATTAGCTTTCAGAGCTTGGTAAAATTTGCCTTTTTTTTCTCTTACTCATTACCCTTTTTTTTTTTTGTGACTTTCACATTTTGCTTTTTTAAAGATAAGCTACTAGAGGCAGGGTGGATTAGCCAATGTCTAGCTAACTGCCTGACAATTGTCGATAAAAGATATAAAGACTACAAAGAGAGTGCATTGTTTTTAGTGAGTTGGGTAACTCAAAAGCTGGCCATACACATGACAGTTTGATAAATCGAAGGTTGAACCCAGCTGAAAATAACCTGACTGTTTTGGATGAAATTGAAGCCATCCAGTTATTGCCCAGTTTTCCCATCATTAAGGTCATTTTTAAGATCATTTCTTGTGATCCATGAAAACAGTGTGTGGTAAATTGCAAAGATTGCCAGAAACTAAGCAGCCATGTACAATTCCTCCTAGTCGGAAAGTGTTTGGTTTTTTTGCTTTTAAAACTGAAAATGGCAATGTGTGGCCAGTTATAGAACTTTCATTTTGTAGCAATGCAAAACCGGAAACTTACAAACCAGGCTTTTATATCACAATAGGTTTCTACAGAAAGCTGATAACTTTTACATGTACAGTATGTAAAAATGAATAAAAAATGTCAGCAGAAATTTTAATCTGTCTGTTTTTGGCTTTTTTTTCTATGGAATAATCTGATTTGTATATGCATTTTCAATCGTAACCCTCTGTGCTCACCCTGTATTTTTTGTCCCCCTTAGTTGTCTGGTTTTTCCATTTTTGCTAGCTCAGCTCATTTGTCCATCTCTGGAAATGCGTTTAAACTAAAAAGTAAATTTTTTTCATGTCTGCTCACATATAGCCAAGGGTGGATCACTGCACTCCAATCATTTCCAGATGTTGCAGCTCTAACGCTCTGTTAACACACCCACACATCCATCTCACTTTCTTCCCTCATTCTTGTAATCTTAAGATTTATTTAGGGACTATGTAAATGTTTTGTGCAATGTCTCTTTCAAGACTTTAAAACCAATGGACATGCTTGTATGTAGTATGTCGGTGAACTAGGTTCTGACACTCCTCCAGCCCTTGGGAAATAAATGAGAGATTCCCTAGACTTCCTTTTTAAAGTGAATCAAAGTCTTCTTTGGAACCAGGGTTTTCTGGGTTGTTCTTTAAAAAAAAAAAATACTTTACATACTAAGGACAGCTTCCTCGCTGGCTAAAAATGTTTAATATGACACCTAGAGTAAAAACTTTGATTTTTTTTTTCCACAGAAGTAAAATGTAAGTTGTATGTGACCCTATTGTGGAGATTGTCCATGGCTTCCTGTCCCTGTAAACCTTCCATGCTCTTTTCAGAACAAAATAAAATGTTGGATCTTGCTAATCTGTATTCTACAAAAATAAATGTATACTACTCCAGGGGAGTTTCTCTAAAAGCTTATAATTGCTAGTTTGTTGCATTCCGTCAAATAAGTCAGAGAAGGAAAGTAATCGCCACATGCTTTAGCATGGGTCACCTGTGACTTTTTCATACTTTTCAGCATTAAAACAGGTCAGAAGTGACCCCTGCTGCTATTCAACTAATAAGAAAAATTGCTGCAGCCCCGAGTGCTGTGACTTAATTTTCTTTCTGATGTGTTTATGAGATAAGAAAACAGCCATGTAAATTCAGCTGATGATCTAATTACTGAATTTTTTTGTTGGTGTGTCCCGTCTTGGCGTTACTTATAATAGCTCCGCCATGTAGGAGGTAACATGAGGGTTGCAGTTGTTCATAGAGAATTTAGAACATGCCTATATTATGAACGTTCTTGAAAAGTCACATGTTCTCTACAGTTACTTACAGATGCTAAATTGACCGTTTTAATCTAAATTTTAATTTAATGATTTCTTCTAGGGTAACCAGGAGCCGACAGCCACTCCTGACACCATGGTTCAACCATTTGCTGCTATTCCTTTCCCTCCACCACCCCAAAACGGTTTGTCTACAGATTATGGAAACCAACACACACAGGAATATGCCGCTCAATCCACTGATCATGTACTTCCGCTCTATGGAGGAGGGCAAAGTCATCCAGAACATACCACACCAGCCACCAGCACAGCTAGTGCTTCCAACACGGTGCGTATGTGTGTCGTAGCTTTCAACTGTGCCTTTTCTTCACAATATGTTTTTTTTTTTTATGTATGCTCCTGTCTGGCACTGACTGGAGTGTTCGTTTGGAAGTGTTAGAATCTCTTGTCGGGGTTTTTTTTTTGGGCTGGCTGATCTTTTTGGGGAAATTTCCTCTCATTATCGGTCCAGTTTTATAAATCTTCTGCCCAGCTGTGAATGGGGGAATGCTCTTCTCACAGCATTTCAGCCACTAGATGGAGCTGAACAACATAGGAATTTGTTATGCGCCTCAGCTCCACCTAATGGCAGAAATGATATCCAAATGTCATGGGCCCTATATGTCAGGACAGTAAGCGATGGGACATCTCTCCAATGGAGACAGACAAAAATACATTTTAGTAGAGTGGGAAAGGGTTAGAACTTCTGCCATTTTTTTTTTTTAATGCTGTCTGCACCTTCCTGAAAAAAATAAAAATCTTAACAGAAATTTTAACTCTTCCTTAGTCTGTCTAAAATTAGCTAGAGTTAGGATTTAATTATTGCTTTTAATGGTAAAAACTGTTATTTGAAAAAATAGTAATTGCTCATAAGGGATTTATTAATGCAGACTAATAAAATTAGATTGTTCAGGTAAATGTTCCGGCGTATGTCTCAACTAAATGTTGGTAACCTATGACATTCCGATTGACGTTCTTCATTAAATACCCTCTCCATTTTGATTTTCTACATGCAGACAGACGGATCACAGACAGAAGGACAACAACCACAAACCCAGAGCACTGAAAGCACGGAAACCAAAGCAACTCCTAAAAGGCTTCACGTTTCCAATATACCATTTCGCTTTAGAGACCCTGATCTTCGCCAGATGTTTGGGGTGAGTCAGTTTGGTTAGGTTTCTGAACAACTGTAACAGAGTTTTATTGCACGACTCCAAAATGAAAAGATACTCTTCATAAGCAAACGGATAACAACATAAAATACTTGTTGCTGTATAGAGCCGCATATAATGCCCAGCAATACTGCCCAGTATTGGATAAGTTTACTTGAATGTAATCTTTTAATTGTAGCCTCTCCTATGTTACAAAATGCACAACCCACCCGTAAAACATGAATGTCAAAACAGTCGGTAGATATGGGGAGCTGAAGATATAAGCAAGTTGTGCCATTTCCTGTGCAAGTCAACCTTGACCTGTTCCCATCTGCTGTCTAAGCCTCCCGGGTGATGATTAAAGTGTATTTCCTGGCGTGCAGACAAATTTGAGAAACCCCTCTATACATTGTGTTCCTATTCATGCAGCTTATCTAAAAATATTGTAAAATATACGGTCTGTCTTTTTACATGTGTGAAATTGTGGAGCTGGAATTTGGAGCTTCTCTGTACAATTTCAAAATAATTGGAAACTCTGGCTGTTCCCACCGAAAGACTAGTGTTACCTGAATTACTATTTTAAGTTATGAACCGCTATATAAGCATTCACACTTACAGGTATAATATTCTAAGGATTCATTCATGAGATTTTTGAGCTCAACACAATAACAGAATTTATTGGTATATAGTATCAAGACTTAAATACAATGAACCAACAATCTATTTAACTACAACATACAAAGAAAAGATTTAAACATGCCAAATACCCAGACATTGGTATCTAACAGACAAACAGACATACAGTTAAGTGGTGGAAAGATTATATGTATAGTTACCCATTAAACGTCACATGAGGCCCCATCCTGGTGAAAAGAGACCAAGCTGTTTTTTCCAGTCATTAATATAGCCCTCGTGTCCATAGGGATGCATGACAAATCTCCCATTGGTTGCCTCCCAAGGCCTACTGGAGATTGGAGGGTTTCCAAGACCCTCTTTACAACTCCACACCCCTCTCTACGATTGGCCAGTCTACTTGTTATTAGATCAAAGGGTCTTGGCTCCTGATACACAGGATACTGAAGTTGCACCTCTATGGTAATTATCTGGACATGCCTGGGCTCAACAATGACCCTATTTGCAATTCATTGGGCCTGGCACTCCCCTCCACAGTGATAAGCACAACAAAGACTTTATTTCCCTACAAGCTATCAGCACCTCAGGGGAAATATTTAAAACAAGAAATAAAACTATATACATATGTCTTATGAAGATTTGACAAACTCATACGGTAACACTAGGGACATTGGGATTCCACTCATCAACATATAATGCTTCTAGAACTCTAACCCTTTGTTAGCACCGACAGTGTTCACATCTAGTTTACAGCTGATAACGAGATCTGCCAACACAATACAGACAGGGTTAATAGGTTGAAGATTAACTTCCCACCCCCATTACATTCCAGAGGAAAATTCAGTTTAGATAAAACATTACGTTCAGGAAACGGCAAGTAATATGCAAGTAGCAATTAAGTTAAAGACGAACGCTGAGCAGAAACAAAATGAACCCAGTACAGTGGGGCTACTCCTGCACTGCAAAGGTTAACTGCTCGTTTTGGTCTAGGAGGTAAAATAAGAGCAAAAAACTTGCCCAACCCTCTGACCTACCTGGCTGCTTGTTCAGTCGCTATAGCCTCTCTCCCCCTCCACTGCGGTGATGGAATGTCTTTTGGCGTCATTAAGTACAATACATTGTGTTAGATTTGATGACTCACGGATCGTTGGACCCCAGGGTGGAGGGGGAAAGAGTCTGCGTGGACCAGTTTAGCAGCCAGACAGGACTGAGGTTCAGGGGAATGTTTCTTTTTAGAAATGTTCTGGAGCAGAACGAGCATTTAACCCTTAGTGCAGGGGTAGCCACACTGCAAGAGTTTTTTTTTTCTGCTCAGAGTTCTTGTTTAAGCAGTGTGAATGAGAACATGTAACTCATATAAAATGTTATCCCGATTAGGCTGCAAAAGTGTAAATACACTTTTTTATAATGTATTGCTGGCTATGTTTCTAGATCTACTGGTCATTTTGATGTGCTTTTTACTAAAGGTAACCTCTACCTATGTAACTTGTAGGTTTTTATTGAAGAATGTATGTCATAAAGTAGGTCATTAGGTCTGTGTATATAGTAAGATTATAAAAGTAAATACAACAATGTGTTGATATACTCAGAGTAGTGTGTATAAATAGCAAATACATAGCAGGTTTTTGGTTTTTTTTTATCGGATGTTTAGTTTGAGTTGCTCAGATTTTTGATTACTGGCCATAAATTCAGATACATGTATTATATTTTCAGAAAATGCTAAAACATTCACATTGATTAAAAAGCCCTGTATACCAGCTTAAACCATGAAAGTGACATTGATTTTGGTGAATTTCTTTTTTTGATTAGAAGTTGATAAACTGATTTTTATTTTTTGTAATTTTATATAAATCCACTTCCTTAGTAATGCAATTTTATATTGGCCTATTCATCTTTAGATTTATGACCAGTTACTTTACAGTATCTTTTAGACTTCGAGTTGGTTTGCTTTGCACTTGGTAGATTGCACAAAAACTTTGTCACAGTTGTTCAAATATTAAAATCCAAAACAATTCAGTCCACCTGCCTGCTTTTGTAGACACTAGCTTCTTCATTTTAAGTTTCACGCTTATCCTTTTGTGTTTTTACAGTTGGCCACACATTACACTGCCATGTGTTGCCAACACAGTACTAGAAGTACCAGAACAATGTTTTAGATTCACCAACAGCTGTGAAGTGTGATCTTGCAGGCATTCACACTTTAATAGTATTTTAACCACTTGAAGACCAGGGTGTTAAAAACCCCTTCCTGGCCAGGCCATTTTTCAGTATTTAGCGCTGCGGTACTTGAGTGACGTTTATTCAGTCATGCAACGCTGTACTGAAACGGACTTTATACAATTTTTTGGGGACAGATGGAGCTTTCTTTTGGTGGTATTTAATCACCACTGGGGTTTTTATTTTTTACTTTATAACAAAAAAAGTACCCTAAATTTTGAAAAAAAAAAACACTTTTTCCCACTGAAATGTTATGAAAAATGTATTAGCACCCCAATTTTTTGGTAAAATATAAAAGACGGGGTCACGTTCGGATAACTAGGCAAACATGTCCAAACATGTCTAGCTTTAAAAATGCGCAAAAGCGCATAAAAATGACCACACCCAAAATTGGCCCTAGGCAATGCTTTAAAAGCTTTTACCGCTCATCAGTTTAGTGTTATCAGTGATTGATGGCCCTAAAATTATTGCTCTCACACCGATGTTCTCTGCAATATGTAACGTGCGGCGGAATCGTCGTTTTCGCACCTTGGCGCACCTGACGCATGTTTGCATGTGGGGGGGGGGACTTTAAAAACTTTTGTGTTTATTTTTATTTTTTTGTGACAATTTTTTTTTTTAGCTTTTGTTTTATGCTTTAATTTTTTTAAACTTTTTTTTTAACACTTAACTTTATTGCTTTCACATAAAGGGCTAATGTGATAGCCAATTCACATGACAGGTCCTCTTTATGGAGACAGGGGTCTTTAAGACCCCTAACGTCACCTAGGGACCCCCAGAGAAGCTCATGAAGCAGAGATCTGCTTCAGCAGCTTCTCACCGGCATCTGTAACCGGAGAGTGCGCTGAATGCAGAAGTGATGTATACATCACTTCCTACATTCGGGGACCGGAGAGGAAATCAAAGGGAGATCTTGTACTGATCTCCACTGACAGAGTCGCCGTGTCGGGCACAGCGGATTTCGGGACCGGCAGCGGCGCACGAGTGGGGGAGGGGCAGGAAGTCTTAAGGCGCCCTCCCGCTCCTATAAGGCTCCCGTCCAGCTTGGTTTGGTGCCAAACTGGCCATGCGCTTTACAACCTGAATGTGCAATGGCTTCTAGATTTACTAATAAATATGTAGTATACTATCTAAAAATTGTGTTCATTTTGTATACAGTCCCTGTTTTATAGAATTGTTGGTAAATCTAGAAGCTTGTTCACCCTGGGTGTCTTTAAATTGCATGCATTTTTTGCGCTTTAAAGTGTGCGCGTTAAAGGGTTTAAGCTTTAGCAAAAACACTCAGTCCAGCTTGGCTGATTCCACCAGTTTCTTCATTAACACATAAGCCCTGCTCAAATTGTAAGACTAAAATTTTTTTTTTATTTGGCAGCTAATGTGTGTGCACGTTGGGATGCCATTCCAGGGGGAACGATGACGCACATTTTGCCACATGTTGTTGCATCAAACCAGCTTTAAGCAAATATACATTCTCGACGTCCACGTCGGGATCCGCTGCGGCGTCTCAGTATACCGCGAGCTGTAGCTTGTGGTATACTGAGCTTAGGGTAACGGGAGGACGCTAATTTGTGTCCTCCCGTTACCCTAAGGAGAACTATGGGGAAAAACACTGACCCCTTAGTTCTCCTTTTAAGATTGTAATGTGCATGTCTTGTTTTACAATGCACTTATGTATGCTGTCATGGTTTTATAAAATGTAATTCAAGTATTTTCTATGTTTTTGGATCTTTGGTCAGAGCCCACACACCTTTTTAGCTTTTACGGTAATTCAATTCTTTACGCCCGAGTTAAATTCACACTAGCGTTGCGTTTAGAGTGCAGTTATATGCTTTTTCTTTGTGTTTAGAACTTTCTTGTTATTATCGCACATTGCTGCACACTGCATTTCGCTTATTATACAGCAGGTTCCATTTTCACCCAGTGCACACCAATGCATTGGTCTGAACTGGGCCTTTTAGAAACAATGAATTTTAGCTTCCTGATTGCCCAGGAAGCTGGCTCCATGTTCCCTTGCGACTCTGCCGGACAGAGGAAATCACCTTCTGACCACGAGTTCCGGTATTGGGGGGCTAGGCATCGGAGCATTTGGACGAGTACTTGGCCAAATACTCGGTTTCAGCACCGATACTGGTATCAGTGTATCCCTAATATATGGTATTCTGTGTAAATGGTAAAAGGGTAAATGCAGTGGATAGGTCATGTGACCTTTTGAGGCAGCTACTGCGTATGCTTCCTAACAAGAAGATTGGGGAGAATGAGCAGCTTTTTGAGGTTCGTTTTTTTTGTTTTTTTAATTTAAAGATTACAACAACTTTTATTGTTCTGTAGTTTAACTTTTATGAATTAAGGCTTAATTCATGCTACAATTATATACTTTGTCTTGGTGTTGGAAAATAAATTGCACTTTAAAAAAATAAAGACCTTTTTATTACCTCTTCCAGCTGTTCTTTTGATAACATGTTATATTATTTTTTCATTAATTTCTTGAAATTCTCTTTTTATTTTTCTTCAGCAATTTGGCAAAATTCTCGACGTAGAAATAATATTTAATGAAAGAGGATCCAAGGTAGGCCAAGCTTTTTATTTATTTTTGTTATTTACCAATTTTCCAATTTTTAGCTGAACCCCAAAGTTGTGTTCAGATCTCGAGTTATTAGAATGGTCATCAGGGCATAGTCCCTGTTTTGTTATTTCAGCGAGTTAATTTGTAAAATGCTTTGTCTAGATATGACCACTGAATCAGTAGATTTTTTGCCATTGCCATTTTGCCCAGAAGATGCGGTTTTCATATATTTTTTTTATATCAAAAGATCAAACTGTTAAGTGTTCTGCTCTGTGAGGTCAAAACTAGTAAAATATTATCTTTGTGTATGATCATTCCCTTGAAAACGAGACTTAAAACTTGGGTACCCTTAGGTGGCTGTCCATCCTCATCATGACATTAACATACATATTTCTTGGATCACAAGTTACTAGGAGCCTCCAATCTGAGGCTGCTACCTGGTCAGTGTAACAACATTATTGTATATGTGGTGGCTATGCCACAAACTAAAATGGCTTTCCCATTAAATCTAACCGGGTTACTTTAGCTGTCAATTCTAATTTAAAACTGTCAATAAATAGTCATGAATACACTGTTCCACGTTTTGATAGTCTTCAGCAGCTGTCATCTCGCATTTCAGTGCTGGCCCCTCCAAATTAATGAGCAAAAATGCTGTTGTATGCATTCTATGTCCACTGATGTGCTTTGCAGTAACCTGTATTCATCTAAGATCAGCGAGAGCTGTACAGACAACAGCTTAAAGGAGAACCATGGGGTAAGTGTTTTTCCCCATAGTTGTCACACGTCGACTCAGACTATGAGGTTGAGTGAAAATCAATTACCTCATAGTTCTCCTTTCAAGCTTTTGGCTGGGTTCACACCATTTTCCGGACCTGATCTGCAATATAGTGCATTGCGTTTTTGCCGCGTTTGGAAATTATTATTTTTTTTAGTTTAAAATGGTCTTACAGGTGTGTGCCATTGCATTCCAGACCAGACAAAATAGGACAAGCAGTATTTTTCTGGTCTGGTCCGGAACAGACTGCGCTGGTGGGAACAGAGGCCAGAAATAGCATTGGGATGCATTTTGGGCCCAGAAACAGTCTGGTCTGGAGGTGGTGTGAATGGGCCCTTAAGGCTGGGGGTACACCATTTTCCGGACCAGATCTGGAATATAGTGCATTGCGTTTTTACCGCGATTTTTGCTGCGTTTGGAAATGTATTTTTTTTTTTTTTAGCTTAAAATGGTCTTACAGGTGTTTTTAATGCTTTCCAGTGCATTCCAGACCAGACAAAATGAGACAAGCAGTATTTTTCTGGTCTGGTCTGGAACGGACTGCGCTGGTGGGAACAGAGGCCAGAAATAGCATAGGGATACATTGGGATGCATTTTGGGTCCGGAAACGGTCTGGTCTGGAGGTAATCTGGATGTGGTATGAATGGGCCCTTAGTTAGTAGTTGAGTGTGAACATGGAAGTAACTGATGTTCACTCCCTAATAATTTTGTAACTACAACATTTTTGGGGAAGAAACTTAAATTTTGGTGTCCTTCATGCTTTTATCTTCCCAATTATAGTTTCCTAATATTTGGGCACTATTCTTCCTCTGCATCTCACAGTTGGGTTTAAAAACCAAATAAATAAATACTTTTTAGTCTAATTTTTCTTTGCAAATTCCATTTAGCTTTAATTGTTACCATGTGTATCATCTTTTGTCTTTTAAAGGAAACTAGTGTATTTTCAGTAAATACGTATTAATGTAGAATTTACTTAAAAGTAATCTTTCATATTTATTATTGTACTTAATGTAAGGATTTGTAGAGGCTTCCTCTAGTGGTCATCTATATGTAAGGCCGAGCTAGTTTGGTTAGGTTTGACTCGGCGCACAACGAGCAACAGGGAAGCACAGACATTATACAATACTACTAACTATCGAAACAGAGCTTGCATGCATCTTTACTGAGCAAGTATGTCAGCCACTGTGTGTGTATGTATGAAAGTATTGTTCCAAAAAATTATAGTTCTTCTTTGTAGGTGTCTGTTGCCAACTCGAGTAGATGCTCCTCTCCCTGTTGTGTTTTTGCAAAGTATAAATCGTTTGCACTATCTTACATAGTCTCTTTAAATGTACGGTATGTCCTCTGTAATGTTAGAAAAAAAGTTAAACTATATTGCAGTTTACCAGTCATGGCTGGCTTCATTAGTTTTCTTTTTTTTTCAGGCAAAGTACATTTTCTGTAAGTACAGAAACAAACCTTTTTTTTTCCTGCCAGAAATCCACTTTCTGTGCACTGAACTGAAATTTCAAACCATGTTTTTGGCTCAACAGTGATCTTAACTAGGGATGCACCAAAATTTCGTCTGACGAACCAAATTGGCCGAAAATTGCACTTTTGGCAAAATACGGAGTGTGTCATCTTTCGGCCGAAATTACTGTGCATTCCTAGTTTCTCCCGTCTGGCACAGCGTCCAGCAGGGAGGAGAGAAACTGTCAGAGGAAGCAGAGCGGTGTGGGGAAGGAGAGCGATATGAGCCGCCATGTCGCAGGAGACCGGCCTTTCCTCCTGCACTGCCCCCCTCAGCTTCCTGACCAATCGGGATAGAGATCGGTGTGGGGGCGGAGACAGACGTGCACGGTCACAGGTGCCTGAGCCGGCGGTGAGGGAGAGGAGCCAGCTGTCAAAATAGACAGAGGTCTCCTCCCTGCCCCGCCGGCTCGGGTTTCTGTGACAGCGAGTCAGGATGGAGAGTGGTACAAGCAGTTGCGATCAGCTGATTGCTGACTGCTTGTATGTAACGACATAGTATGAGTTACTATGCATCAGTTATGAATGAATAGGAAGTGATCTACCTCACTTCCTGTTCATTCATAATTGTTTACAAAGATTAGAAAATATTTTTTTTCGGTTTCCACCTGGCATTTTTTTTTTAGTTTTAAGATTTTCATTTTGGTGCACCTCTAATCTTAACTTCTCTTTGGAGATCAGCAAGGAGCTGATCTCCCGTCCTCCTCCTCCTGACGCCCTCCGAGCCAATCCCGGGACGCAGACAGGGCAGCGGATCCCGGGATTCAAGGTGAGGGGGTGGGGGGGCACGAACGAGCACATATAGACGATCAGCGGGCTATGGAGCCGCTAATCGCCTATATGTGAAACACCCGGTAACGGGTGTGTGCAATGGTCGGGTCTTTTCTGTCCGTGCGTGCCCGCTAGGGGGCGCGCGCAAGCAGAAAAAAAATTGCCGTCTGGAGACGGCAACCCGCAAATTCTGCAGTGCCGTCCGTCCGTTTTTTTACTACGGGCGGACGGCAAGTGGTTAAACTACAGAACACCTCCCCCTGTGTTATGAAAATGAGAAGTGGACATGGTTTCTGCTTCTCCATAGGTACAGTATGGCGAGTACAGGAAGTGTTATTTGAAAGATCACCAAGTAAAAATAAAGGGAAACCACTACACTGGGAGGTCAGTTAACTGGAATATGTGAAGTTTTTTTTGTTTTTGGGTTTAAATATGCTTTAAACCTCTTTTGGGCCAAGTTCTTCCTTGAGGAGAAATCCAACTTATTAGGCTAGAACTAAACAGGAGATTTTTAGTGGCTTAATATTTATACCAAACTTAGATTTGAAGCTCCTGTACTATGTACTAATAATAAAATAAATATGCAAGATTGTCTACTACTACATGCTACTTCTATAACTTAGTCCATTCATCATATCACGGATTAATCTTTTCAAAATGTAATTGAATTATGTTGCTTTTAATTTATGGAATTTAAAGAGGGTGATGAAGAGCTAATTTCTTTATCAACACAGTGCTGAGCTTTTCAGTTCATAAACACGTGGTTACCAGTTAGCCAGTGGGAGTCAGAGAACGTAGCCACAACATTGTGTGTCCAACAAACTTAAATGCTGTAGTAAATCTGAGGCTATTGGAGGGATCTATGCAGACTTCTGTGAAAGGTGATTGCAGGGCCTTTTGGGAAAATTCATTTTTTTTTTTTTTTGCCATGGTTGCATCAATTGTAGTTTTATTAACGTTCTTATAAAATGGCTTCAGCACAAAATGTGTGTGTGTGTGTGTGTGCGTACGCTTCAGTAGTCACTAACACAGGAAATGATGCAGGTTTGGACTCTGACTTTACTGATTTCCATGTCAGTCAAAGTATAGAAGTTAGTGTGGGGGTGGGCAACTCTGGCCCTCCAGCAGTGCTTTAACTGGAAATCCCAAAATGCTTCTGTCTCTGGGAGTCATATCTGTAACTGTCAGTCTTGCAATGCTTGTAGTACAACAACAGCTGTAGGGTTGGGGTCAGCATAAAAGCCAGAGGGGTAACATTTTCATAAGGTCAGCAATGGTAGCCCCATTAACCTTTTTTCTAATTCCTTTTAGTTTTTAAAGTCCAAATTGATTATAGTCCTGAAAAGGGAAGAGTTAAAACACCTGACTGGGTTTTTTTAAATTTTCTTTTGTCCTGTTTGGGAGATTTCACTTCTGTCCTGTCCTAGAGCATGCAACAGGAAGTAAAAGGAAAGCTCTTCAGAATTAGGCAAATTCCCCATGTAGACGTCATCGGAACAAGTGTCTTCATTGGAAGATTTACCCTCACCTTGTTCTGGTGACGACTTAGAATTTTTGGATTTGTCTTTTATTTTTATTTATTTTTTCTTGATAATAGTCACCACAGCAAATAGAAAGGGTAATCTACCCAGCAGGGACATGTGTAGCAATTTTGAGAGATGTTTTAATCCTTCCCTACACAATCTAAACCGAAAAGAAAATGGTAAATTGTAGGTTCACTACTTTTGATTACATTGTATAAAATGTTAATGTCAGTGTTGAGACTCTACAACAGTGTCTTCTCAATAAGAGTTAAAGCCAAAATTAATTGAAGTTTAGAAGTTAGGTAATTCTCAAATGATGGAAAATTCCTATTAAGGAACGTATGATGTTTTATTTCTTGGCTAGAATGTGGCTGTGACTAATATATGGTAAAAGAACAAGCAGCTAAAAAATAAAGAGGGTACAT